TTTCCCAGCCAGGCTGGGGAATTCTGGGAGTTGAAGTCCACTCATCTTAAAGTGGCCAAGTTTGGACAACACTGCTGTAAGCAGTTGGCTCCATTGTTTAGACCAGTGTTCCTCAACCTTGGCAGGTCAAGGTAGAATTGAAACTGACGCACCAGCCAGTGATGACAATCACTACCACGCTACGTATATCAGCTAAAAAAATGAATAGTCATTAGTTATAACTTTATAGTAAGTTTACAAAGGTCGAAAATATTTGTAAAGAAAACATTAAAACTCAAGGCAATGGATACTGGAAGGAGAGAAAAAATGTTTGGCTTCTCCCATTAGGCTAGAGTGGAACCAGTTAAACAGGGACACAAGAATCCGGGAAGTTCTGATGCCGTAGCTTTATTATAGAAGAGAAGTGTTTGTATAAGAAGCATTACAGAATACTTCCAATAATGTCTGTGTCTCAGTTGGAAGCTCTATTTATATAACAACATTTGTATCTCTTGTGCCTCTTTTTCCTGCCCAGTCTGCATAAAGGGCTAGAAACAAAACAGAAGTTTCATCTTTTCCTTCCCTTGGTAATGGCCTGATCTAGTATCAAGTTGTTTATTTTTTACTGTGTGAACTAACTTTTGCAAAAAAAGCAAACAGTTAAAGTATAGATGAGGAAAGCAATAGAAAAGAATAACTGATTACATAACAGAACCCTTCTGAGAAACACTTTTCAGAAACACGCAAATTTAAACAAGGATACAGTCCAGAACACGTGTACCTCCGAGTAATATCTATTGAAAATGAAGTTTCTTCTGTATGTACGGGTGTACAGCTTGCATCAGTCTTGATTCCTGCCAACTGCTGGGGCAAGCCCACACAGTTTTCTTGGCAACATTTTGAGAAGTGGTTGGCTGTTGCCTCTTCCTAGAGCTGCTGGGGTTTGACAGCCCAAAGCCTCCCAGCTGGTTTCATGCCTAAGACAGGCCTAAACTCACAGCCTCCCAGTTTCGAGTCCGTTTTTTTTTTTTTTTAACCTACCCCAAACTGGCTCTCTTCTTTTCTATAGTCACGTATAGGTTTTTTTCATACGAGTTGCAATTGGTCTTGACCTTGTACAAATATCAGAATTATATCTGCTAAGTGATAAGGTGTAAAATAACATTTAGCACTCTCTATACATCGGCAGGATTCTATGAAATCTCTTACTTGAAAAGTAAGCAAAGAGTAAAATGCATTTACCAGGAAGTAAAGCCAAATGAGTCTATGATGATTAAGCATAGACAAGAAAGTGCCTGAAGCTTTCCATGAACAAGGATTGTAGCAATAGAATTAGGTCAATGACGTGGAAAAATATGCCGTTTAACTGATAATTTTTAAACATTTATGATATGTGAAATACATTACAAAGCCTGTGTAACAGAATGGTACAAAAATTAATTCTACAAGTCTCGGAAGATCATTCTAAGGTATGAAATAGTATCTCATGGATTCTAGCACCCATGATGACTTCCTCATCCAGTGAAACTTACAAATATGGTACGTGGCTTTATATAATGCTTAAAATCCTTTCAAAAGTTAAGCATCTTTTCCTGTTCTTTTTTGAATATAGAAAGGCAACATTTAACTCAAGTCTTTTGGTTCACATACAGTGTTGAACAGTGTAGCACAATATATGGATAGATTTTATATTTTCCCCTTTCCTCTTACTCACTGCAGCCCTAAGAGAAAGATTAAAAATATCACATCAATTTTCAAGAAGCTGCTATTTATTTAAGACTGCCATATCTGGATTGCAATAATCTAAACAAACGCTGGATGGCTGCCATCTAGTGGCCATATGGAGTGTTGCGGCCTAGGTATGGTAGCCTTCAGTATAAGTGTATATATGTATCCTACTTCAGACACATTATGCAAAGCTCTCTGGAGAAGGCTCTAATGCTGGGAAAGGTAGAAGGAAAGAAGATGAGTATGTTGAGCAGCAAGGTGGATGGACTCAGTTATAGTGACAAAGGGTGCACTGTTAGAAGACCTGGAAGACCAGGTTAGGGACAGATGGTCATGGAGAAAAGCTATCTATGTGGTCGCTAAGGGTCGATCCCAACCTGATGTCACATATCATAATCAGTGGTTGATTCCTACTTCTCCCCAAAATATATAGGGCCCATCCTATATATGCTGATAGGAAAAGAAGCAGCTGTTAACAATAGAGGAAAGTTGGAGATTACTTTGAAATTTAATTGCTGCTCGGAAGGAGTTTGGTGAAATTCAGTCTTTTGTCAGTTCTTATCTCTTCTTTATTCCCTGTCTATTTTTTCCCTATATAGTTGCCTCTTCCCCTTTTCTCATTTCCATCTGGTTTTACTTTTCCCTTCTCAGTGCACCTATCCCTTCCTCTTTCTGGCTTTGTTCTGTTTGTTTCTGTTTCTCTTGGAAAGAGAGAGCAGTACGTGCGTGTGAGGTTGTATGTATTGGTTCAGTGCAGGAGGGCGCTATATGTTTGTGAAGGAGAATGGTTGGTATATGCAAATGGAGATCAATTAATTTTGAAAAATGGAATACATTTATGGTGGGGACAGAATCTCTAGAATTAATTTCAGTTAGGTTGACAAGGTGGGGAAGCTAAGCTTTGCCCACTTTGCTTTCCCTTGCTTATAATTCTTTGTTCTTCCTTTGGGGGAGATTGTCTTAAATTCAGGGTGACTTGTCATTTGAGTAAACATGGTACATGTATAAAAATTCACCATCATTGTAGTTGTATACAAATTTTCTGAGCATTTTGTTTTCTGTTGAATTTAAACACATAAACTCACAGGAAAGTGTTATAAGTTTACATCTTGAGTATGACATATAAACCTTTAGTAGGATATTTCATGCTGTTATTACAGATACATGAAATTACATATGTATGGAATTATACTATTAGGTTATCTCATTTCCACCTCTTCTTGTTATTTCTTTTCTTAGGTCTTGAAAAACTATCACAAATGGAGAACAGAATACCCAGAAATAAGTACAAATCTACATCCATCCTCTGTTTTTGGCCTGTTGCAAGCCGGCTACCTTGGAATCTTGAAAGAAAGGGATCCAAGTGGTTCCAAAGTTACCATTTATAGAATTGGCAAGTAATTTTATGTTGATAATCCTATCTAGTTTCTAACTCTTAAATCAAATAAGATAACTGTAGCATTCCAACTGACAAGACAGAGAGGGTTTTTTTTTAATGATTTATGGATATCAAACTGGCTTTTTAAATTGAACCAATATAATTATTGTTGTCAATCTGAGAAGCATTGATTATATTAATCCAGGGTGGGTAACCTGTTGCTCCTGTGGACTCCCAACCCCCCTCTGGCCATGATAGTTGAAGTTGACAGCAGTTTCCTGCTCTTTTCAGTGTGCAACAAAAACTATTTTAAGCTCTAAAGTAAGCCTATCAAGATTAAAAATGAAGAGCTCCCCCAGTTCTTCCCAAACCCTGTCCCACCAACTTTGTAGCTGTCCTGTATTAACTTGGCCACTGACCACCTAAATATTCTCTGTATTGTTACAAGATCGGTAGTTCTTTGTTCTTGAATCTGGGTATAAGTTGACACAATGACACATCACATTTACACATGTATTCTGTCAGTAATTCAGATTGACTTTGAATTACAAACTGTGTGGTTGTAATATCTGGCCTAATTTTTGGGACTTTCTTGCTTCCCTGCCATTTGTTGGTTTTTGTCTGATCAGCAGTACTGAAGAACCAAAAAATGCATGTGCTTTTGTGTCATTTTAGCTATGGGTATTGTCTAGAATAGGTAATAACCAGTTCCAAGGACAGTTCATCATCTTACCCCTTCAACATGAGAAATGTCAAAATAGTTAATGATCAGAACATTGCAATGTGATTTTTCAAAAGCTATATTATTTCAACCAAGATAGAATGCGAGCCCTGGCCAAGGCAATTCAGACAAGACTGTGGTGCTCTTGCTAGTCTTGCCTTCCTCACTTCCTGAGCTACTTCATGGTCCTGAGCCAAGTGCCTGCAGCAGTAGCCTGAGCGTGCCGACCCCCGAGGGTGGAACGTCCTCCTCCTGCAGATGTCTCCATACCAGGACCCAGTGAGATGCCTCTTGGGAAGAAGCTCAGGAAGTGGTGAAAAAAATTAAGAACCAGTTCACACAAACCAGACTAGGTAACACTTCTAAATAAAGGTAGCACTAACCTATTTAGACAAAGCATCTATTAAGGGAAGGGGAAGATTTTTTTTTTTTAATATACAGTATAATTTTACCAAAAATTTTAAACACAAGAATAAGACTAATACAAACCAAAATAGAGAGAAAAAGGAAAGAGAAAAAGGAAAAAAATGAAAGAAAAAATCTAAAGATGCAAAAAGAAAAAGAGTAGCGTAAACATAGAAAAGAAAGAAAGATACAAAAAAGTGTCTTTTGATCTTCTTTACAGCAGTTATAAGTACAATTATAAATTGACCTCTCTCTCTAAAGTTACTATGTGACTCTTTTCTTTCTATAATCTATCCTATCTAATAATCAAAACCATAAACCATAAATTCATTTTTTCTTTTTTATGCAAAAAGTCCCTAAAGGGTTTCTAGTCCCTAATAAATGCAGATATTGTCTTTTCTCTAATCAGACAAGTCAGTTTGGCCATTTCAGTGAGTTCTGTCATCTTCACCAACCATTCCTCTGTCATAGGTATTGCCAAATCTTTCCATCTTTGGAGTAGCACTCCAGTTATCATATATAAAACAATGTTCTATGACTTTTTTTCAACTGCTTATCTATCAGTCCCAAGAGGAAAACTTCTGGTTTCAGTTGAGTGTTAATCTTTAAAATCCTCTGAATCATTTGAACCTCCTCCATACATCCTCTGTATGTATTTGGACCCAAAATTTTCTAGCTTTTTTGCGTATCCACCAAACATGATAAAATGACCCTTCTTGTTGTTCACATTTCCAACATAAATTTGAAGTACCTTTACACATTCTAGATAACTTTTCTGGAGTCATATACCAACGATACATCATTTTTAAAAAATTCTCTTTAATACAGTGTTCCCTCTAGTTACGAACTTAACCCGTTCTGTGACTCTGGTTGCAACTCGAGTTGGTTGCAACTCGAGT